TAGAGATAGAGATAGAGATAGAGATAGAGATAGAGATAGAGATAGAGATAGAGATAGAGATAGAGATAGAGATAGATAGGTAGGTAGGTAGGTAGGTAGATGAGAGAGAGAGAGACAGAGAGACAGAGAGAGACAGAGAGATGAGCAGTTGTTAGAGTGCAATACTGCAGGCTATTTCTGCTGACTGCCATCTGCTTGCAATTTCCCAGTACAAATGTCACCAGGCTCCGTCCTTCCAAAGTGGGTAAAATGGGGACCCAGATTTATCATCATCTTCTTCTTCTTCTTCTTGTAATGAACCCATAGTCCGTTTCAGGGTGGACCAGTGCCATTGTATCTCCTTTTAAATAGCAGGGAATAACATATACTTCCAGAAAGCCACATCAATTTTAACAGCATCTGTTAATCTGAAATGCAAACAGTGTACATTGTCTGTGCTGTTTTCTGTTTGTTGCAAGGAGGCAAATTGCTGGGAGGCAGAGGCAGATTTTTCCCCCTTGTTTTCCTCCCCAAAAGCTAGGTGGGTCTTATACTTCGGAGCGTCCTATACTCCGAAAAATACGGTATTTCTCTCTTCTAATCACCCCTGCAATTTGCAAGAAGGATTTAGGGCATGGCATACCACGATGAGATTTTTTTCTCATCTTCCCACTCATAATTACTTTCTCCCGAAGGAGTACTGTGGATAAAAAAAGATCAGGGCTTATTAAGCCCCCATTTATGGGTTAGGTGCCGACTGACACAATTTAAACTAGTTAGTCCTCTGTCCTCGGGGAAGCGGGGTGGGGGGGGGGTGAAGCATGCTAATGTTGTACGTGTTAAAATAAACTTAATGAAGTTTATAATCCCAGGTGGGCAACCTTTTCAGATCTTCAGATTGACTTTGGAGTAAGCATCGCTTTGATTTTCAAAGAGTTTGATTCCCATGTTATTTATTTTTTATTGTGTAAGCATAATCTTTATTGTCCTTGTACTTAAATACAACGAAATTGATTACTGTTGTAGGTCATCCTATAAAAAATTGAAACGAATGGAATGGAATTTCAAAACTACTTTGTTTTTCTCTGCTTTCGCTGTTCAGAGCCACCAGGAAGAATCGTAACCCCCAAAATCCAACCCTTAATCAATAAAATTAAACACTCAGCAGGTTTGAAGTTTAATTGGATTGTACAGGGTTGTGTACAATTGTTTTTGTCCTTATGGAAACTCACCAGATACAGATAGACATTCGAGTTAATCTTGGATCTTATATGGTTTAAACCAGGAACACGGTGGCTCAGTGCCTAAGACGCTGAGCTTGTCGATCAGAAAGGCTGGCAGTTCGGCGGTTTGAATCCCTAGCGCCGCGTAACAGAGTGAGCTCCCGTTCCTTGTCCCAGCTTCTGCCAACCTAGCAGTTCGAAAG